TACTGGCAAGGATGTATGTGAATGTTATACTCCATCTTCAGAAACTTCTGTATTACAATTAGATGTTAAAGATGTTTTCTGGATTGTCAGAAAAGTCGGGCTGTTGTATAGAGATGTCTCCTCCAAAATAACGGCAGGCATTTACCCAGACACAAAATCACTGGTATATCTAACAAAAGGGGGCCCCATGCAAAATCTAATGGAGCCCTCTCCCCACCTTGGGTATATTCAAGAATCCTCCCATGTGAACAGAGAAAGTGTGTATAATGGAATAAGAATGAGAGATGTCTTTATGTCTTTGGAAAGGATAAGCTTACCAACAATAGACGGTGCCTAAGGTATCTGGGTTGAGGTCATCATTCAACCTCCCAGCCCTGACATTAATGCCTTGTATTTGTAGGCAACCAGACTTCTGAGCTTAGAGGCCTATCTCTAACCTGGAAAGATTTCACAGGATCCTCTCATAGCCTTTGGGCTCAAATCACAGTATAAAATCCACATCTTAGATTTGGCAATGACCATGGGAAATAGCAAGAGAAAAAGCAACTTGTTTTTGGGTGGGAAGAAGAGAAGGGTAGAAAAAATTCTGGAAAGAGAAAGACTGACTGGGGCCAGAGCAAGTTGGCCTATAATCAGGAAAGACACTAAATCTTAGAAGAAAGTTAAGGAAGGAAAGAGTAAGAAAAAAAAGAGGGAGTGAAGAGGGAAGGCGACTAGTTTGAAGATGTCTTCCCCAGCTTCTAGGCCTTCAGGAACCATATTGGGCCTAGTTTTTGGAGAGGAATGGAGTGTGTAGGAATTTCATCCAAACCCTGGTTCATTTAACAAATATTTATTCAGCACTTCACAGTTCCAATCATTGTTTTTGGTGCTGGGGATTCAGCAGTCAACAAACAGAAACAAAAACCCTTACTCTCATGGAACGTAGATTCTGTGGGAAGGGCTAAGGCAGCTAGATATCTAGGGCCATTGCCCAGTGAGTGAGGTGTGCATTCAGCTCCCTTGCCCACAAAAGGATGTCCCTAGCTACTTCTAAGGAGTCTACCTTACAATCTTCAAATGACAAATGGCCTTTACCTGCCTAGTAGATTATAATCCCTTTGAAGTCAAAGACTGTATCTTATTTTTTTTTATTTCAGCATTTAATGCCCAGAAAGAAACCTAGTATCTGGCCTGTAGTTAGCATTTAATAAATGTGTACAGTTGACTCTTGAACAATGTGCAGATTAGGGGCACTGATCCCCCCCCACAGTCAAAAATCTGGTGTCTAGCTTTGACGCCCTCAAAACTTATCTACTAATAGCCTACTATTGACAGGAAGCCTTACTGATAGCATAAACCATCGACTGACATATTTTATAGGTTATATATTGTGTATACTGTATATTTACAAGAAAGCAAGCTAGAGAAAAGAAAATATTATTAAGGAACTCGTGAGGAAATGAAAATACATTTATAGTACTACACTGTATTGAAAAAAAATCTGCATATAAGCGGACCCATGCAGTTCAAACCACTGTTTAAGGGCCAACTATAGTTAGCGTTCAGTAACTATCTGCTGGGGAAAGCTGTCCCTGTGAAGAATAGCAACAAATGGGCACCTATGACCCGACCCCTGTGGTGTCAGTGACTAGTCCAGGGCTGGGCCCTCCCTTGCCCACTCCATGTTTCCTTCCCTCTTTACCAAAGGTGACTTTTTGAGCTGAATTCAACCAGCCTGAATGATCCCAGGTGTGCGAACTTCCCCTCACCTGCACTGTGTCAACTCCTTTAAGGTGTTTGTTCTAACAGAAACTCCTTTGCCTTTGAAGTTTCTGCTCAATTGTCCTTTAAATGGATCAAGAGTTCCTCCTGGGTGGGCAGACAAGTTCAGGCCAGGGGTTCTGGGCACTCCTTCCCACTCAGCCAAGGTATGGTGGCCTCTATTCCTTCTCAGTACATACCCCTCAGGCAGCTGAAACATCGATCAGGGTTGGCACAGGAAATAATTCCTCAGGGCCACTCAGATCAATCTAATCTACTCCTAGAAGGGGCAGTGAGTGCCAACTGGTGTGGAATTCAGGGCCGGTATTATTTCTCACTCACTGACTCAGAGGGGTGGGATCTCCTCATAGTCTAAGGAGAAGCACTGCTTAATAGAAATACAATGCAAGCCCCATGTGTCAATTTGAATTTTCTAGTGGCCACATTAAAAAAAAAGGTAGAAATTAATTTTAATAATGTATTTTATTTGGTACAACATATGCAAAATATTATCATTTAAAAATATAATCAATATAAAAAATTCTTAATGAGATATTTTACGTCCTTTTCCCCCATACAAAATCTTTAAAACCCACTGTATATTTTAAACTTCGAATACACCTCACTTCTGACCAGCCACATCTCAAAGGCTCAGTAGCCCCATGAGGGCTCATGGAGACTATCCTGGACAGCCCAGCTCTAAGGAGTTTAGTGAAATCTCTGAGGGCATCTTGGAGTGGTTGTTCCAAGACAACTCTTTTTGCATAAAGATTAAGGAAAATTAAAAAAAAATGTTTATGAACGAATAGCTCTAATCAGTTCTGTGTGGGAAAATGTTTATTCTTGCAACATAGACGCCTAACTTAGCTTTAACAGAAGAATGTTAATGAGAAAAGTTTTGCTTCTTTTTAGCCACCGAAATCCTACTATCTGGACACACTGAGAAGGGGCAAAGCTGAGGAAGTCTTTAAACTTCCAGCCGGCAAGCACATTAGTGATCACACTGTGAAGGAAAGTGGGCAGCAGGATGCTTTTCACCCCTGGGGCGTTCTCCCCTCACCAAGAATGACATCTCGGTCGGCCCTCTGCTTCGCTCCTGGTCTTTGTTTACAGGGGCGAGACAAGAGTCCTATAAAGAGGCACAGAAACAGACTGCATTTTGGTTTCCAAACTGCAGGCCCTTGAAGTTTTTATCAGTCTGCATGGACACGAACAACTGTCCATCCACTGAATAATGTTTAATTCTCCGCTGAAACTATTTACTGCCTACTAATTATGAGGCAAACACTGTTTCAGGGGCTTCAAGGTGTCCACCATATATTCGTACTATTTTCCAAATATACATGCAAGATATTATAACGAATAAAATACAAATTAATATAAAAACCTTAATTACTAGTAGCGATCTCTCCCTTGCATTTTCCCAATCAATGGAATCTGTCTTTTGTGAGTGGATAGGGCTCTCTGTCAGTCAGGATCCTCCTGAGAGGAGATCCTCCTACTGCTTCTTTGTTACTGAATTAATGGTCTCTCGTTAAGAAACACTGGGCTTGAGAACCAACTGAGTGCTCAGTTTATTTATTTATTTATATTTTAAAAATATTTTTTAAGATTTTATTTATTTATTTGACTCAGAGAGATAGCGAGAGAGGACACAAGCAGGGGGAGTGGGAGAGGGAGAAGCAGGCTTCCCGCTGAGCAGGGAGCCCGATGATGCGGGGCTCGATCCCAGGACCCTGGCATCACGACCTGAAGGTAGATGCTTAACGACTGAGCCAACCAGGAGCCCCTGAGTGCTCGGTTTAATTGCTCAACGTTAATACATTCAACATAGATGATTTCATTACCTAACATGCGCTGGCTACTTCCCAGTATTTCCTTAGGCATAACAAGCTTTTACCATAAAAACCAAATCAATGTTAATCTGCAAAGTTGTCATTTTATGTCCACTGCCAAGAAAAAAAGAAAAAAACAAAGTGGGATAAAGTAAACCTTTATCAAGGAACTGGACTCAAATAATTATCAAACCAGCTCTTTCCAATCCCTTGGAGCGATCTGATTTGTGAGCTGCAGTTTCCAAGTATATTTTATTTAATTGCTGAGGGCAAGAGAATAGTAGGCATTTTTGAGCTAAGCTCTTTAGGGTGCTGGCCTGCTCTGCGTTTGGGAAAAACTGAAAAAAGCAATCTTTATAGTTAGTGTTTTCAAGCGGGTCTACTAATCCTCCCAGCTCTGTTTCCTTTCAATTGCATCAAGAGTAAACAGGTAAGAAAGAGCCAAAAGCTACCCTGGTGAACAAGCAAAAAGTAGTCAAGTTTCAAAGCTGGCTGTTAGTAGCCAGCAACATCCTTCTGTATTTCCAAGCAAACAGAGGCAAAGCAATGTTTTTTTTTCTACCTCTTATAAACAATCTGTCTTTAAGCAAGACATACACAATGCCTTCTCCCCACTCTCTAAAAACTGGCCATTGTTGTTGTTCAGTTGCACTCCTGAATCCTACAGAGTAGAAACCAGCCAGCTAGGTAAGGACTGTTTGATCTACATATCTTGGCTGGCGACGTGAGTGCCGAGCAAACCTGTCCAGGCTCATGTTTCTATAGGGCTTCCCGTCAGAAGGAGAGCCTGCGGTTTGAGGTTTAGCAGAGCCAAACTCGCCCCTTCCCGTGGAGGATGGCGACAAGTACTCAGCACACACCAGTTGCATTCATGAGGAAACAATCTTCCTGCCCACCCAGCACTATTTTTAGAGCCATCTCTTGGCATGCAAACTTATATTTCTGGGCTTTCTGCCACTCAGACAAAAAAAAAAAAAAAGAAAAAAGGGACAAGAAAAACTGGTTTGGTTCCAGTGCTGAACCCAAACAACAAACATTAAATGTGGCCTTTCCCATTGATGCATTTCTGTGTCAAATCTCACTCCTTCTTCAAAAGCAGTAAGCACTGGCTGTGGCTCTGAGGAATGCTTTTTTCTCCTAATTCTAATGAGGAAAATGTGTCCTCCTCTCTTAGGGGATATTCTGTAAAGCAGGACGCAGTGAAGCAAACTGCTATGAAGAGGACAGGATGTTTTGAAATTTTTAAAGTAATAGCATCCATGCTGGGGCTGTCGACCTCCCCCAACACGTGGGAGGCCCTGAGAAAAGCTGACGCCCAAAGCCAGCTATGGAGTGGACACAGAAAGAACATTCAGTGTGAAATTGCCAGGCATCTCCGACCCAACGAGAAACGCTTCCTAGCATTTTGCTGTTTTGCCACAGGAACATCTGGCATTTGGGAGTATCAGGGCTGTTCACCAGAAAGAGAAGTGGCACTGGCAGAGACCTTGACACAGACACCCAGAGCAAGTCGCCGCAAGTCTCGCTCACACGAGTTCCAAACCACGGAATGTCACGCCGGATCGGAACTGAGCAAAACAGACGTCTCTCCTGTCTGCTCCCAAGCCTGAAGAGACCTGCCCTACTCTTTCCTTGCAGTGCATTCTTTATTGCAATCATGTTTTCTGAATTAATTGCCCCATTTCTTTTGGCTCAGTATTCTGTCCCAGCCCTGTCTGCTGAGAGACGTAGCGGTCGGCTAAGGGGACAGCCAGGACCTCCCGCACTTGCGCCACCAAGCCCGACAGCCAGTGAGTGGTTTGGATGACGATTTCTTCCACTTTGGCACATGTAGTCACCACCAACTAGTATAACAGACACATAACACAAAACAATAAAAAATATCTGCAGCTAAGCAGCTATTGTCCCATGCTGTCATTAATATAACAAAAATTAAAACAAGTATCACATTAAAAAAAAACTCCACGGGGCGCCTGGGTGGCTCAGTTGGTTAAGCGACTGCTTTCGGCTCAGGTCATGATCCTGGAGTCCCGGGATCGAGTCCCACATCGGGCTTCCTGCTCAGCAAGGAGTCTGCTTCTCCCTCTGACCCTCCTCTCTCTCACGCTCTCTGTCTCTCATTCTCTCTCTCTCAAATAAATAAAATCTTTAAAAAAAAAAACCAATACAAAACTCCACAAAATTTCTTAAATATTCCAAATGATATGGATGCAAGGTAATTTCTTTTCTTTCTTTCTTTTTTTTTTTTTTTAAAGATTTTATTTATTTATTTGCTGGAGAGAGACACAGAGAGAGAGAGAGAGAAAGAGAGAGAGAGAAAGCACAAGCAGGGGGAGCGGCAGGCAGAGGGAGAGGGAGAGGGAGAAGCAGGCTCCCCACCGAGCAGGGAGCCCAACGTGGTGCTCGATCCCAGGACCCTGGGATCATGACCCGAGCCGAAGGCAGACGCTTAACCGACTGAGCCACCCAGGCACCCCAGTGAAGTAGTTTCACTAGACGTGAGATACAAACACTTCCGGAAGTTATAAAATAGTTTGGGATTTCATAAATGGATAAATGCAAAGGAAACTGACTTGCTACCAAACAAAAAACCTTCTTAGAGTCTGAGTCTTTGGGACCATTTGCAGGCCTCCTTCTTCCAGGCCTACAGTGGAAGTGCAAACCCTGCTCCCTTGAAGGTTGGTGGAATGTGAGTGAAAGTGACATGTGTCAACTTCCTGACACGGGTGCCCAGTCCTCTGTGCTCTCTTCCTCACCAAAGATTCAGATTTACTTAGGATCCAGGTGGATCCAGGCATCTGAACTGCTTGCCAGTCCCACCTCCCCCCACCCCCGCCCCGCTTGATTTTAGTGTGTACCATACTTGAGAACCATGACTTCACATTACTGGGCTCTTCCATTTTCCAAAACTCAATCCTAGGACATGAAATATTACAGCGGGGAGAAAGAAGAAATGCACAAATAACACTACCCCCAAATAGCATGTTCATGTTACAGGAAATGAGTGCCCTCAGTTAACTGGGGTTGCCAAAGTTCCCCTGGTCCAGCAGAACATGTTCCCAGTTCCACTTGTTGGTCATCTTACACTTTCAGTATTCTATCCCTGGAGTAACTGGAAGCAATAACCCGATAGTCAGGGAGTCGGTTAGCTGTCCTATAGGACTCTGAACATGAAGCCAGTGTGGATTCAGGCTCAGGGCAGTAAGTTAACTGGGACTAAGAAACACTATAAACATAGGGAGTCTGTTAGCAGAGAAAATGTAGCTGAAGAGATGCAGTATCATTGGGGATCCCTCAAAGAGCATGTTTTGCTGCATCAGAAACCCAAGTTTTGGATACTAGCAGAGAAATATTCAAGGGGCACTGTACAAGCTCATACCCCTTAAGAACATCCAGAGTCTCTTCGCACCCAGACATATGAACACAAGGGTTTCCACTGTGATGACCATATGTTATTTACCATTCCTTCACTGCTTACTATGCACCAGAATAGTATTAGGTATTTTAAAGATACAGTTTCCTCTTATCCTCACGGCAACCCCATGAGGAGGTATTATTATCTTTTCCATGTTATAGACTAGGATTGACAATTGAATTGCCTAGTCTATAACATAAGTTTAAGTGACCTGCCCACTGTCACATGGCTTTGAACTTCACTGAAGAATAAAGAATAAAGAGAGTAAAGAGGTTCCCACACTTCCCTATAATTTGGAGTACAACTGAGAGACAGGTGGTTTATAACAACTTCTCGATTGGTCTTCTAGTTGCCTCAATACCTATTTCCTGGGCACTTGGTTTAATCTAAAGAATGTGCCTTATTAATGGGAGACCATAAAGCATAATTTTGACAAATACATATTGAATAATCATTTCTATTCAAATTGAAATTATTTATTTTATTTAAATTTCACTAACGTTTGGCATAATTATGCATCAATCACTTCTCTGCCTAAGGTTACACAGTATCCACACAATCATCCAGTGAAGATTTTAGAACCTTCCGAGTACTAGTTACTGCAGATATAATGGGAAGCCAGACAGACACACTCACCACCCCCTCAGAGCTTATAGTTCTGCTGGGCACACAGGCAATTAAGTAGCAAAAGCAGTGTGCTAAGGGTTATGATGGGACCAGTATTAAGAAGTCTTTCAAGGTGTCCAAGGAGACAAAAAGTGGCCAGCTCTTCTTCCATATACTTGAAATGCATTAGGTTTTCCTTCTTAGACCTGCAGCCAATTTAACAGATACCTTCTCTGGCTAGACTTTGTCCTCTGGTGTTGTCTTCTATCTGTTCCTTTAGAGCAACTGGTCTTGATATCACGTTGCTTCAAATAGACCTTCATTGTCATTTGAAGTACTGTCAGCTTCGTGCATAAAGGCCTTCCTTCAGTTCACCATGGAGCAATTGCTCAGCTAGTCACCAAATTATCATCTATCATAGGAACAGGCAAGCAGGGAGAGCTGGCTTTCGACCTGTTGAATTACTAAGCATAATTTGGGCCTTTATTCTACCTTCGTTTAAGAGATGAAACGTGGGAAGTGCTCTTTCCATGATGGCTTTTTTCAAGTGTCACACTTACTAAGTTTTTTGGACAGAACTACAGGTCTGAGACAGTCATTTTGCTAATATCTCACTCCTTCTGTGCACAAGTCAACACTGGCGGTGTAGTTCTGCTCTGCAACCCAATTTCAGGCATTAAAAAAGAAAGCAAAATATAATGATTTGTTTTAGGGTTTGCAAGATGACCGAATTGCTAACGATAATTGAATAGCTAATACTAAGAACTTACTATCTGAAAGGTACTATGTGTTGAGTGTTTTATGCATGCTATCTCATTTAAACTTTATAAAAATAGGTAGGCACTGGCATGATACAACCAAGGGCATTATTATCCCCATTTCACAAATGAAGAAGACTGAGTCTTGGAGAATTTGAGTAACTTGCCCAAGGTCACATGGCAAGTAAATAGCAGAGAAAGGATGCGATCCCAGGGGCTTTTTGGCTCCAAAGTCCATGCTCTGAACTGGTACCATATATGGCTTCCTACCACATTGAAACAATAGGTTTAAAAAAAAAATTCATCATTCAGCACATGGCATCTATTATGAGCTAGCCACCAAGCTAGGAATTCTGGGGGTATAAAGATGAGTAAAAGAGTTTTCATAGTACTAATTAGAGACTGTGGGTATCTGAGCAGTTAACTAGAATGTTCCTAGCTTTATACACTTTTTCTGGACTCTAGAGTAACACCAGATCTAAGCCTGGGCTTTCCTTATAGGGCCATTTTTTTTTCCACTAAAAGCTGTTTTTCCACTAGCTGAATATCTCACTCCTACACACCAGCCTTACACTGGGTGAATACTATTTAAATCAATTATTTTGGTGTGACAGATAGACCCTAAGATACTATTCACACTCTTGTATAATGCCCTTCCCATGAGTGGGTGGCACCTGTGACTTGCTTTAACCAATAAAATATGTCAAAGTTGATGGAATGTCATTATCATGATTAGGCTATATAAGATTATGACTTCCATCTTGCTAGCTGACTCCCCATCTCACTGCCTTTGATGAAGCAAGTCGCATGGTGGGAAGGCCCACATGGCAAGAAATTGAGGGCTGCTTCTGGCCAACAGCCAGCTAGGAACTGAGGCCCTCCGTCTAACAGCCCAAAAGGAAGTGAATCCTGCCAACAACTTCAAAAGTGAGCTGGAGAGAGGATCCCTCCCCAGTTAAGCTTCCAGATGAGACCTCATCCCTGGCTGACACCTTAAATGAAGCCTCATGAGAGAGACCCTGGGCAGTCAGCTGAGCTAGGCTGTGCCCAGATTGCTGACCCATAGAAACTATGAGATAATAAATATGTGTTGTTTTATACTTCCAATTTGTAGTAATTTGTTATGCAGTGATATGTAACTAATATATTTGGTTAAAAGGTAAGTTTCTTTGTGTCATGGATCTTTATGGTACTCTCAAATAGTTGATACCAAATTTCTAATCGTGATTTTAATCTCTTGGTTAGATCATAAAAATAACAGGGACCTACTGAGCACCCACTGGGTCCAGGTAAATTCTAGCATAGTATTAGTGAAATTATGGCCACATTTACTAAGCAATAGTTCATTAGTGCAGTTATTGCATATACAAGAAGTATTAAATATTCATTTAACAATTTTTGAAAAAGGTTAGTGGACTTTACCATTTTATTGTCCAGTTTCTACTTCTTCCCTTCTTTTGGTAAATGTAACCTTCCATTCTAGAAAATGCTACTTCTCTGAACCTCAGTCATGTTATTCTAGTGGGTCTTTATCTTATATGACTTACTTCCCTGCTCACAGTGGCTGATCCAAGGTTAGGCACCTCATCTAAACTGGGCCAACAAGCACTTTTTTCCAGGATTTCGTTTTAATGTGGTGAAGAGTCCCTGAGTTGTAAATCTGTGAGAATCAAGCATGGACCCTTCATGGCCATGCTCCCTGCTGAATGCAGAAAGACATTCGGCAGGAGGAGAGAATGGCATGGATCTCAGGAAGAAGCAGAGACAGACAGGGAGAGCGCAGTTCCTTCCAGTCCTTGCTGCTGTAGTTCCCGAAGTCCGACTATAACCCTGTCCTTTCTTTGGGTCACAGAGCCCTGACCGGAAACTCACTTTGAGATCCCAGCAAATGTAAATTGATATTCACTCATCTCCATCAAAAGAGACTTAGCATTTACATCGATGTGGATGGAACTGGAGGGTATTATGCTGAGCGAAATAAGTTAATCAGAGAAAGACAATAATCATATGGTTTTACTCATATAAGGAATATAAGAAATGGTGCAGAGGACAATAGAGGAAGGGAAGGAAAACTGAATGGGAAGAAATCAGAGAGGGAGACAAACCATGAGACTCTTAACTCTAGGAAACAAACTGAACGTTGCTGGAGGGGAGGTGGGTGGGGGGATGGGGTAACTGGGTAAAGGCATTAAGGAGGGCACGTGATGTGATGAGCACTGGGTGTTACACACAACTCATGAATCACTGAACTCTACCTCTGAAACTAATGATGTACTGTATGTTGGCTAATTGAGTTTAAATTTTAAAAAAAGAAAAGAAAGAGACAGCTAATACATGGATCAAGATTTTTCATTACTCTGAATTGCCCTTTCCTGATCTATGTTACTGATG